AAAGGCCAGAAGCCGAAACACACTTGTCTAAAGATAAAGCCAAATTATTCTTCAACAGACTCCAACCACTGAGGGAACATTATGTTAATAATAAAAAATGCACAGATGTCTGACGCTGAAAAGTACAAGGAAACCAACAAGAGGAGCACACTATGAAAGCACAGGAAAACCATAGATTGCACTGTTGTAAAGCAGAGGTCTGTCATCCTAAATCACACGCAATGTGCTTCTGTCAATGCATCAGCAAAAAATCTGCAATCCTTTTCTAAAGATGTCATGGTTTACACAGAATGAATTACCATGGTTTAAAGCGCAGAAGGAGCAGCTTGAGATTAGCAGCTTGAAATTGCTTTCTAAATCAAACAGGTATTTTGTCAGCTGAAAAGTGAACCATTGTATTTTTACAAACCAAAAAATACATAAGTGAACACTAAATCACAAAGAGAAATAATACCTTTCCTTTAAAAAATGTCAGGCTAGAGCTTATGCATGGGTATTTGTATAAAAAGCTGCAATTCTGAACTGATGAACGTACTTTCTATTCACAGTCTGCCTGCAATGCATGCAAAATGTTGCTGCATATTTCCAACCTGTGCATCTACAACACATGAAAATGAGTCATCAGGGGTGTCTGTAAAGACAGTCTAGAAGCAGAATGACATAAGCTACCAGCTATGAATAAATATAGTAGTGTTTAGACAAAACTATGTATTACTTGTTCTATTTATAGCAAATGAATATGAAGTAATTCAAACAGCACATTTGCATGTACATGAAATAAATGTGTGTTCTATGTGAGTGAGATGAATTTTCTAGGTAAATATTCAAGTAATTATGCAATTTGTTAAGTGATCATTGCAAAAAAAAAAAACTCAGTATTTGACATTTTTATGTGAATGTCAGTTTTGTGGATGTGGACAATAACAAAATACAAAGTAATTTGCAATATACTGTGAACAATAATTTAACATATCATGAAAAATGTTTTTTTGGCTTCTACATGGACCACCAAAATGACAAATTATTTAATGTAAGACATTGTTATATTTTCTTACTTGGATAGGTGATACATTAAATCTATGTTATTTTACTATAAATATAAACACGTTTTGTAAAAACTAAAAAAAGTCTAAAAAAAAGTGTTTGATATGTAATTTCCAGTTTGACTGGACATACAGATGCAAGTTCCATTTATTGAGGCCATGCACTTTGATGAACTTTTCAAGTTTGTTGCAATCTGTTTGTTGATTTTAGAAAACACTGTCTTTCACAAATATTAGTCAAATCTGGCATATTTTACCAAATATGGGGGGGGCTGAAACGATGGAAATTACAATGCAACTATTCAGCCTCATCCAGTAGCATATGACAAAGCACTTCACACGAAACACACAACAACCAGCTGAAACATCAAACAACTGATGAGTTACGCTGCTTGCTGAATTGCTGTGTAGCGTTTATCTGGGGAAAGCTGCACACCAGTCAGCTGCAGAACCCCCCACCCCCAGCCCAACCCACCACCCCAAGCATAACAGCAATTGATCATACATAAACTGCTTAAGAGGAGCTCAAAGAACTAAGTAAAATACTCTGGGGCGTTCATCGGGCCCCAAACTCCCCAAATACCAATCTTAAATGTCCTAATGGCATTTGTGGGAAGCAAACTCTAATCCCAGCCTATAGGGCCTAACATATTTCTAACTTGCTCATTCCATATCGAACATGACAACTGCGGATGGTCTTTGTCTACTACTTGACCACTCAGAGCTCTCTTACCAGGATAAGGAGGACCTACATAATATTATCCAATGGTTTCAATGTTGTGACTGACCAATGTATCCTGTAAGAAATGGGTTTTGTGTAGTTGTAACGTTACTGTGCCAAATCTTGTCTTATAGACACTTTATGAACAAATATTGTCCTATTCCGTACGTTATGGTGTTTGATGAGCAGATTTCTGTACTTTGTTGACAGACTTTGTCTAAATGGTTGTTCTGAATTCATTTGGAATGTGGATGTCTTCAGTTTTGTGCCTTGATCAGTTGAGGTTCTAAAAACATTATCGTTATGCCATTGAGGTTACTCCAAAAAGGTTTGTAAAAACATGAGAATCTGACGCACAGTTCCATCATATTTGGCTAAATTTAGTCTGACGCAAACCATATTCTTTCAAATGAGGTCTTGTGCGTAATGATTTGTCTCTCTTTTTAGTCCAGTGTTGATATGAGTTCTTAAAAACTTCCGGGTAGTAATAATTGCACCATCCAACTGTGTGACATTATCAGTGATTTTAATGTCTGTACAGTATCCTGCACTCTTTTGTTTTCTTTAACTTCTGTAAAGGTCACTGCATCAATTATACACTAATGTAAGTCGTGTCTAGATGCATGTAGTCCAATAAAGCGAATGCATTAAAAATCAGGACGCTGTTCCTCTCTCTGTTTCCAACATACAAATGATGAAAAATACAACACAAATTTATACAGTTAAAAAGTTAGATCATTTGAGAAAATTTCATCAGCATCTACAGGTTTGAAAAGAGGATGTCAAATGTCAAATGTCAATGTCAAATTTATTTATATAGCACTTTAAAACAGGCATAGAACTGCACCAAAGTGCTGTACAATAATGATAACAACACAAATTAATAAAACAAGGTATCAAACTAATTCAATTAAATGCCAAGGAATAAAAATGAGTTTTGAGAAGAGATTTAAAATGATCCAGGCTGTGGGCAGATCTAATTTGGAAGGGTAGATCATTCCAAAGAGAAGGAGCAACAGCGGAAAAAGCCCGATCTCCTTTCCTCTTTAATCGGGTCCGAGGAACTGTCAGTAAAAGCTGATTATTAGAGCGTAGGGTTCTGGACACGGGCTGAAATTTTAAAAGTTCCAGAAGATACGGGGGAGCTAATCCATTTAAGGCTTTATAAGTTAATAAAAGAATCTTAAAATCTATTCGATAAAGAACAGGCAGCCAATGTAAAGAGGCCAGTATAGGCCTTATATGGTCGCGCTTCCTGGTACCTGTGAGAAGCCGAGCTGCTGCGTTCTGGATCATTTGGAGTCGCTGCATCTGTGATTTATCCAGACCTCTATATAATGAGTTGCAGTAATCCAAACGAGATGTGATGAAGGCATGGATAAGTCCTTCAAAGTCTTTTAAACAAAAATAAGATTTAACTTTAGCTAAAATACGCAGGTGATAAAAACTTGATCTAACGACAGAGCTAACTTGTTTATCTAGCTTTAAACAACTATCAAACGTAAAACCAAGATTCCTAGCAGAGGTCTGACAGAACCGAGCTAAAGAACCAAGAATCAGATCTGGATCTATTTTGTGAGGACTCTGACCAAATAGTATAACTTGCGTTTTACTTTGATTGAGGTGAAGACAGTTTTGTTCCATCCAAGATTTGACTTCTGTTAGACAATTGTTCAATAGTTGAAGAGATTCACTTTTGCCATTTTGTAGTTTGAGGGGCATATAAATTTGGACATCATCTGCAAAGCAATGAAATGAAACGTTAAACCTATGGAAAATCTGACCAAGAGGTAATAGATACAAAATAAACAAAATGGGACCTAAAATTGAGCCTTGGGGGACACCGTACTTTAAAGGTTTAGCCTCAGAACAACATTGGTCTAAATGAACTGAGAAAGTTCTGTTTTCTAAATAAGACTTAAACCATGCAAGTACCGGGCCTCTCAGGCCAACACAATATTTTGGATTTCTGATCCATTATATATGAAAACCTTTTGGATTAGAAAAAAAAAGTCTAGATATCAATAGTCCTTTTCATTGCAAGTTGAGGCTAATTGCATTTTTTTGTTTGGTATTACCATCAGTTGGCAAAGTGTGGGCACTTTCTAAAGGCGTTGCCCAAAAATAGCTCCATCTCTATAACATGTGGGACATCTGACACAAATTGATCTGACTTTAATGAGGATTCAGCTGGAAAGTGTTGATGGAGAAGGTCATACAATTTAATTTACAAGCTGATACACAAAGCTAAAGTAATGACAAAGTATATCAGTTATGTTCAGTTTAATTTGCTTCTCTCTACTATAAATATGTATTTGAAATTTTGATATGGTTTTTCCCCGAAACTGTTGAAAAAACAGTGCACTGCCTCAGTGTAGAAAAACAACTACTGGGGCTTTCTGAAAAAAACAAAATTATAATCAGCAGTAGGTCAGCCATAAACACATGAGGATCGACGAGATGCAAAGCAATCTTTAATTAGAAAATACACAACAGCAGAATACTTGTGTTTTTCTGACCGAGTTCTACTTAAATTAAGCCAGGACATCAGGGAATCGCTTACTGATCTGGTACAGAATTCAAATCTAAAAAAAATCTTTCCATCTGTGATGCTTAAACAGGTGTGAGTGTCTGTCTTGGCATTAGCGCTGTCCAGGGAGTGCCCTCAATCTTACCCTATGACTGCTGTGACTCTGAACAGGATGAAGCAGACGTAGAAAATAGATGAATGGACGGATTGATGGCTTTCCATCTGTTCAGCAATCATCCATTTGTTCAAGGACAGTGTGACTTAAAATCAAACTCCTTGGAGTTGTTCCCCACTACAGCTGATGATTGCTTCAAGTCAACATATTGTCACCCACATATCATCAGACATGGCATGGGAGGCACAGTTTGCATCACCTGTGCTGCCCCTGCTGAGCTCATGTAAGGTTTTGAAACCTACTGCCAACTATCATATATATTTGAAATCAGCGACTTGTTAATTTTAAAACATATTTTACATGGCAAAGATCTTATAAAACCACACATATGGCATATGTCATGCAAAGTATTTCACTGGTTTGACATATTGTATCTCTTCTCATTTACTCATAAAGACATTTTAAAATAAAATCAAATTCTCTGTCGCTGATGGAAACCAGACAAACTTTCAAATGCAAGTCCATTGCTCCTTTCTTCTTGAATTCCACAACTCCTCCGGTGAGTGGCCTGAACCTCACAGTGATTATCTCTCAACCCCATTCAGTGTTTACTCTGACTCTCCATCCACCTGGAGGTGGAGGTAGAAGGGAGGGTGGGAGGTCAGGAATGGAGAGTAATTGTTGAGGTATCTCACTTTCGACTTCCACCTCCTCACTGTCCTCCTTACTCTTTTTATCCCTGTGGAGATAAATGATTAAAACTGATGAATTCAAATTGCACAGGAATGACTATTAAGCATGCTAACCATGAAGCTTCAAGTGTTAGAACAACGTACCCTTTTCTATTAAGGGCAGCTTGCTTCTTTTCCCTTTTTGAAAACCATTCTTCGATACTTCGCCCTAGCATGATTCTGTCCTCAGAGTCCTCTTTATGCTGCTTCTCCTCTGGGGGTGAAAACAAAGCCATAACTTTTCTGGAATAACAGCCAACTTTTGGTTGACCAAAAGTCAAATTATCCTCCTAGAGTGAACAGTTTGATTACATCCACATTGTTAATTTTGCACAATATAAGTGCTTTCTATTTGAAAATAGATCTTGTTTTGCATGAGTCAACAGTTCATGACATGGTAAACAGCTCTATCAGCTGGTTGCACCTCACCTTCCAACCATCTCTTCAGGTTTAACTGCTCCTCTTCAGACATGTGAGAAAATCGGCAGTTTGAGCCAAAATCACAAATTCCTAAATAAAGAAAAAAAGCAAAAAAAACAAGTTTACCAAAAATTAATAGGCAAAAGTACTTACATTTTTTTATAATTCAAATGTACATGGATGGTACAGTAGTACTGTTACCTTTCTGGAGAAACTTCCGACATGGTTTCTTCAATTGCTCGTCATACAGAATAGCTGCAGAGTCTTTGGAAAGAAAGTCAAATGATGGTTCTCTTAATACCAAACCATAAATAGTGAGATAGCGAACGACAAACGACGAACTAGGGCCACTTTTAATTAGCTTAATTGATTTCTAGTTTTTACAAATATAACTCTTTTATATAAAAAGACAACAAGCTACGCAAAACATAGTTAATTTCAAACACATTAATATCTCAGAAAGACTGAAGATCCCACCTCGGAACTGGTCAAACCAGGCTTTTTTCGCTCTGTGATGCTGAACTCCATTCAGATGTTTCTTCCTGTTATGCATGTTGTCCTGAAAGGACCGATCACAGTAGTCACAATAGTATCTTTTCCCCATGTTGAAGGTTTAATATCAGGAAGCTGTCACCTTTTAAAACAAATGAAAGGCAGCATGAGGTAAATATATACATGATATCAATGAAAAGTAATTGCAGGAAATAATCTAGAATGTTTTCTAGTTACATAATATTTCACTAAAGTTTCCAGCAGAAATGTGAAAAAGTGCTATGCATATACACACATCTAAGTAAAAACAAAAAAGTTAAGTATGAGAGTAAAATGCTACTAGTAAAGGGCAAAGACTAAACCAGTGATCATATGCAGGCTACATAAAAAAACATATCTAATTTATCTGTTTTAAACGCCTTCATCTCCTATCTGAATTTTACCCAGAAAACAATCTCAAAGTACGGCTTGAAAATGCCTCTCAATACGTAAGATTAATCTTTAAAAGGAAAAAGCTCTGAGAAGGGTATATCCTCTGTAGTAGTCTCTTCTGCAATGATAAGGCATTTAATATTTGTTGTCATTTTCATTTCACCATTAGTTTCACCACACACGGACGAAATTCACAGAAATGATTGACAAATGTGCAGTTGTGGCACCTCTTAAATCAAATTAATTCCCTGACACCTTTGGAAGATATGTTTAGAAGTAAGAAAAAGAGATGAGGAAAGAAGCAGAAGATGTTTTAGCAGATGAATGAGACGAGGGAAAGGACGGAGGCAAAAGATGCATGTTCTCCTGCCACCTTCAGGTTAAAACATGCAAGCACGGGTTTCCCCTCTAAAAACAGCCTTCTGACACTACGGTGCCCATTTTTTTTTTTTTCAAAATTCAACAGATGAAAGTAATAAGCATCCGAAGTCCTGACATTTAAAAAAAAATGCCTACAAACACATTAGTACGAATCTAAATGAAAAGTTTGATGTTCCATGAATAGTTGCATGACCAAACTAGCAAAGCAAACATGCTAGCCAATATTATTGCTATTGTATCACTGAATGCTAGAATGTATTGCATGTGTTTAACTAGTTTAAACAGCAAAAACTACAAATTACCATTGGCGAAGAGGCAGTCAGTTCTCCCCTTGTATACCAGCTTTAAAAACGGCACATTGCACACGATGCTAAGACTAAATGTTTTCTTTTGCCAAGGTACGGTATCTCTGTTGGATCAATCCGCCACGACCTCTAAAACGGAAGTGAGTCACACCCGGCATCCGCACTTGCGCAGTACACATCACATCAACGACATGGCGCTGGCAAAGTCTGTCTACAATCTTCTCTTCAGGAGGACGTCAACTTTCGCTGTAACCATCATGGTTGGAGCGGTGTTCTTCGAACGAATATTTGACCAAGGTGGCGATGCCATTTTTGAGCAGATGAATCGTGGGGTGAGTCTTTCCTTTTACCTTTTACTGAACCTGACCTTGTAAGTAGAGGGCGAAGCGGCGCTAACGTTAGCCCAGCTAGCCTGCCCGCTAACCTGACAAACTTGTCCTAACAGTTTATTGACTGATATGTTCTATTATATTTCTAAACCGTTACTTTTTTATTTACAGAAACTATGGAAACACATCAAACACAACTACGAGAGCAAAGAAGAGTAATTTAGACAAAGCCTGGGGTTACATAAGGCTGAAGCGAAATTGTTCACATTTCCATTACCCTCTCTTCCTGGATTAAAACCTGAAATCAAACAGCTGTCTACATGGACAATGTGCCGAAAGTCATGCCCAGACTGGAAGCGGCTATCAGCGGACCTGTCAAGCCGACTGATAGCCCAGACCACCATGAAGATGGAGCGAAGGTTCCTGCCTCTTCGTCATCTACTTTGCGGATGTTTGTGATGCCCTCGTTGTCCTCCCAAATTGTAAATTGTTAAATTAAATGTGTTGATGTCTTAAAAGTCTTGCATGGTTTTGATTTACGATCTGGAGGCCACATTTTTATTGGGATCCATTACATAAATCCTTATCGTACTGTTTTTATGGCAGCTTTTGTGGTACCAGTAACAAATTCTTATATATTTAGCTCCAGTTTAAACATTAAAGGTTTTATTCACAAGGATGAAGATTTACCCCCAATTGGATACATCGCATACTAAAAAAGTTTTGTTGGGGGGAAAGGAAAAAAAAACAAAACACACTTGCATAAACCAACTATAAAATAGTGCTTCACATAATTTAAGAAGTATTTCAACTAGATACTCCAGTGTTTTCATCAATCAGTGTGTTTTTTGACACAAACTAAATGTATTTCAACCAATATTTATTTGTTGAGGCAAGGTGTCAGACTCTAGTCTTTGTGGGGCCTCTGCCTGGCAAGTTTTAGGCAACTGAATTACTTAATGCACCACATTCACACCAGTGTGCTGTTATCAGGCCTGTTCCAAACCTAAAGGTGTTTGGAGTGGATCATTTCATCAGGAGCAAGGAAACTCCAACCTTCAGGACAGCGACCCTCACGAACTTGACACCACTGCTGTAAATGGATTAAGTAGATGCTTTTTTTAAAAATTAATAAATTCAAGTTTTGTCATATTTAGTTATTTTAGCAAATATGAACATATCAAGACATAACACTGCTTCTGGGCTGGGAAAAAAAACACTAATTTTCAAAGTGTCATTATAGAAGAGCGTTTTCCAAAAACAAGCATTTTAGGACACTTCGGAGAGTAGAATTTTTTGGGTTAACTCATACTTTATTAAAAAGCTCAGAATACAAAGACAATCTGAAGATTAAAAAAAGGAGAAATATTTCTATTTTTCTGACTGATACTACATACCAAACCCTAACTGCTATTCTCAAAAATGAGTTTCTAATACATTAGGAGGTACACTAAAGAAAACCAGCTTTACTAACATTTACATGTGTATCATTCACAAAAGGGTTGTAAACTATTGCTGCACAAAAGTCTTTAGAATCCCTACCTATAGCATTAGCTCTTAGAATATGTTCAATGTATAGTTTAAGAGCATAATTACACACGGAAAGAGTATTAGAGGTAAAGTATTAAATTCAGACTCTTTAGACAGGAAATTGTCTTTTTCATATGCAGATTACCTTGTATGACCTGCATATTACCAAGAAAGTGTAAATATAGTCATTTTAAGTCCACATTCTATAAATAAGCATGACAATTCAACTGTATTGGACACATCTCAGAGGTAGTCTAAGAAAATTTGACATCTATTTAGGTTAACACACAACTCACTGATTATTTTTCAGTGCTAAAGATTAATTATTTCCATTAATGTTGAGGACACCATGTACAATACTAAGTCACGTTCAGCAGAGACAGCCTTTTAAAAACTCGTCATGAAGCTGCTGACAGGCATCAGGCCTCCAGGGGTCACACACGGCCTGTCATTAAAAGCACCTCCACCATTACTGCCCTCTGCCGGTGCAGGCTGCCCTGCTCGGGTTCTGTTGCTGTCAATGCAGAAGACGTGCAGTGACACCGTAACTGCAATTTTCACTCAGGTTTTGCACATAAACTCGTCGAAAGTGTCCTGGGAAAGATAAGATATTAATAAATATGATACGGAGGAGTATCAGGCTTTACATGTCAAACTGAAATCAGATCGGCTTACACCCTGGTGGAGAAACGAGCATCAATTCACATGACAAATCTAAACAAACAGGTTTGATTATTCAAAATTATCTTCGTTTCTCATATATCCACAAGCAGGTTGTGCATAACAAAAATAACAAAGGTAATAATAACACTAGTTCATAACAAAACTGGTAATAAACTGGTAATAAATAAAGTCAGTAAAATGTATCTTTTAACCAACCATACAGTCTGGTCAGCCACAGGTTTACTCCCAAGTCTGAGAGGTACTGAAGTTCAGGCGTGAGCATTTTTTCACAGATTTTTCTGAATTTGGGATCAATTTCTTTTTTCATGTTGTAGCCCAGAATGGATTTCTCTCCAACTGGCTGCCAAGGCTGGAAACGCCTGCTCTGAAGCTTTTGGGCTTCGACAGCCCCTCCGCCCTCAATACAAATGGCCTTCATCTCAGCATTTCTTTTTCTCAGCTGGTTTACTTCCTGTTTCATCCTCTCTGTCCCGTAAGCATCCACTCTTTCCCAGAATGTTGCGTTAAAATGCTGATATAGTTTCCAGTCAGCCCCGTTCCACTGTAAAGCTTTGGATCTGGTCTCTGGGTCCAGCTGAGACACAGATGAGCTCCTGCGAACATTGAGCTTAAAGTACAGGATATCCTCCGTGGTCCAACAGAGTAAATCCTTGAGCAGGATCAGAGACTCCTCAAAATATTCAGCTATGAGCACCAGATGAAATGTTTTTGCTAAGTAGCGAATGCCTCTCATGACACGAAGATCATCAGCTTCAAGGTTGTTATCAAAACCAAAGTCGAAAAACAGTAGGTTTTTAAGATAGAATGAGTTAAAAGCGATGGGATCGTAGTACGCCTGAGGATTGTTTAGAAACGCCACCAGTTTGTTCTCCCCCTTGATGCTCCATGTCAGGGGAATTGCTCGGTGATAGTAGTGAAAAGACGACTCAAAGAGATCCGCGGGGTCACGCACGATTGTGACATACAGAGCATCTGTAGGAAGGAGTTTGGAAACTTCTTGGTGGTCGAAGCGCATGTGGTTGCACACAATATTAAAACACTCCCCCGGCTGGTAGTCCTTCACCTGAGAGCACTGGAATGGCGACGGATAGAAGAAGTCATTTCTTCCATCGGGGAAGGCAAATTTAAGTTTGTGCTTTTCCCCAAATCTGAAGAGGATGTTGAGAATGGTGCTGCTTGCAGTTTTATGGGTCTTCATGAACATGAAATTCACTTTGGGAGAGCACTCATTTTCAGTTGTAGAGCTTGGAAAAATAAAAACTGAAGCATTCTTCAAGGATTTTGCCATGTTGAGAGGACATGAGTCCTCTTGGATCCCTCTGCAAATAGATTATACGCAACAGTAAGTGACTATGAAGACTTATACCAACAAAATAATATTTTCTTTAAAATATTTACCGGCTTTTATGCCTTGGGGTTTTCAAGCAGTAAAATATCAGTACGGTGTTGATCAATAAAATCCAAGGAATGAGCTTCCGTAGCACAGCTTTGCATTTTCTTCCTTTGATGTTGGACATTCTGAAAATCTTATATCAACCTAAAAATAGAAAAAGAGAGAACATATATAGAGAACAAAAATCTGAAGGGTGTAATTAAACCTTTTGAGTAAATGTAGTCTCACTTGACCAGTGGGCAGTCACATGACAAACATGAATACATTAACCATATTTATGTGTTCACTAATTACGCACCTGAATTTATTTACATAGGAGTATAACTATAACTATGGTTTAAAACAATCAATGGTGATGGAATTAAAAAAGATTAAGCTAAAGATACAATTGTGTGGGAGACTGTTGAGTGAAAAAGGGAAGAGATTGAATACAGACAACAAAAAAATGCTGCATCACTCATTCAGTCAGATACAACAAACAGTCCCTATGTTGATACTTGAAACATGTGTGGCATTGTAAGAATTTCCAGTTCAGCAAACAACCGAAATAACAGAAAAGCTGTTTCTTTACCTCATGGACCTCTCATTTTAAAAGTCACCGGAAAGGTAAAAGTGTTTCATGAAAATACCTCTCTAACTTGATATGTCTCTGTTCTCGACTGGTTATACTTCGGACAAATGACCGTCAGGTCAACCCACACATGTGGCGTCATGTGAAAAGTGGGCTTTCACAGATCTCCCATCTTTGCAAGTCAGAGATTGGTCATTTGTTGCTATAACCAATAAGAAAACCTGTATAAAACGTCTACGTCTCTCTCAGTAACAAAAGGCACATGGAAAAATTGCATTTGATTAAGTTCCACACGTGTGGACGACATTTGATTACAACAGACATGAGAGAATAATGTGACATCTTAGACTAAATTGACCATTCAGAGTTGAGTTTTTTATGGCAAAAAAGAACACGGAAAAAAGAAAAGAGAGAAAAAAAATCGAACTTACACTGATTTGGTGTCATTGTAAATGTCCAGCTGATTTTCACCTGATTGCACCTCCCAGATGAGAGACACGCTTGTCGGTGAGAAGTACACGTTCACAGAAGTGCTATCTCATTGGCTGTTTGGAGGCCTGAAAAAAAAAACAAGCATCCCTCCTCCCACAGGGGCTGAATATGTTTGTTAAACAGACTTTTAAGAGGGACATAAGAGGGCAGTGTGGTGCACTGAGGAGGTTTTAAAAAATATCTGTATCCTATTAAGCATGTTATCTGTTTGATGTATTCATAAAAGGCAGTAAGGAATGCCTAAAGTACTATAACTCTATAATTAATACTTCATTACAATATGCCTTAAAGCGTTTATGATGTTTTTGGAACAGACTTTTCAGAGAAGAAAGTTAGATTGGCAAATAAGTGAGAGGTGATTAAGGCTCCTATTAGTCAACAGTAAAAGAAAAATCCTAAAACACAGAAACTTTATTGATATTCAAATTCTACACGGCCACATAAAAGCTTTTTTTCTTTTAGCTCTTTATATGTTTTTTTTAAACGGGAAATGGTCAATAATAATGATAGATCTATATATATATTCCATCTTTTGAATGTTGTGACCTCATAATAACATCATCCATCCATTTTCGGAACTGCTTATTCCTTAATGGAGCCAATCCCAGTGGTCAATGGGCGAGAGGCGGGGTCCACCCTGGTCGGTCGGCCAATCCATCGCCATAAAAACATCATATATTGATCATATTGATCATCATACATTGAAATCAGATCCCAGATTAATTTGACACTTTCTGAAGTGGATTTAATGCAATCAAAAAATGCATCGGTCCAGTTTTTCTGATTCAACCAATCACAGCATTTCAGGGTGGAAGGAAAAAAAAACCTACAAAGACTCAATATCACACAGCACATATGAAAAAAAAAGAAATCACACACATCCATATAACTGTCTGTCTCCACCAGAAAAGCAAATATGTTCACCTGCAGAGTGCATTATGAAACAGGGCAATTTCTTTCAGAAGAGTGACGTTTCTAAGAAAACTTCCGTTGTTACCCATAAAAATGTTATCAGAACATTTTGGATAATTAATAATTTGTACCGTCCAGCTTTGAACCACTGCTGTTCTCTGAAAGATAAATGGCCTTTCTTCCACAGAGAGCTGCTTGATCAACAACTACAGCACGACAAGGATGAATGATTCCTATCGTGGATCACACTGAAATCACTCTTTGGACTTTCATTTAAGCAGTTTCCTGTCGATGGGTAAGGAGCATGATGGATATCATGGATATAAAAAACAAAACCATAAAGAGTATTTACTTTAGAAAATGATCTGCTTATGTAGAACGGATAACAGATACGGATAAAATCAATGCAAGGTCTACAGTCAGAGGAACAGGCTGTAAAACGTTCTTTGCTTCCAGCTAATCTGGAATAAATAACTCGGATAAGGCACTTTAAGTGAGAGCTACTTAGGGGGAAAGAAATCCTTTTTAAAAGGACACACTTCTTATGTACAACTAAGCCACTTTCGGGGATCAAACATACACTTCTTCTACTATCAATATATGACCATCTGAAGACATAAATAGGCAATTTTCTAAAAACACACAACAACAACAAAAAAACACAATAATATAGAAATGTTCCTCTCTTTTCATTAATTAATTATGAAGATGATTGTGGTCAATTCTATGCTAAATAAACTCTGAATTGGACAAAAATCTCAATTATCACCTTATGCAGTGTGTGTAATGCTGCAATGTCTCCTGGCTGTGCTTTCAAAACCTCTTTATTCCATCAGTGCCTAAAAGCCAAAAAAACCTCGTCCCACAACCCATCCCTGAAATACTTGTCAGTAAAATATACAGTTTTCTTTAAAAAATCCCACCTAAAAAACCAAAGGAAAGACCTCAGCCTTACTATACAAAAAGCAGCTAGCAGTCAGTGGTACATTATATAAATTGGAATGGTTACAGATTGATTTCAGTCCCTTTGTTGTGGACTGGTCACTCAGTAGACAGGTTTGTATATAATCTGGCCACCCAGCAGCCTTCTCTTCAGCTCCTTCCACAGCAGGCTGCGCTCCCTCTGAGACCCTTTCATGAAGCCACGGTTTTCTTGAGCCCGACGAGACAGATATGGAATCACCTCGTTGACAGGGCCATAAGGAACATACTTGTAGACCGGAAAACCAGCTTGTCCTGTTTTAAATGGAGGAGAAAGAAAACAAAGCTCTTTGTCACTGCTCTGTCAGTGAATACAGGATATACAGATTCACACACACATATATCTATAAATATATATGTAGATGTATATGTATATATATATATATATATGACAGCTGTCACTACTGATGATGGGCGGACAATTCCTTGCCTTCCCCCATGAGCCCAGCTAACATGCGTAGTGTTTAGTCAGTCAAAAACGACTTCCAGGAACATGTTTGCTCTCGACACATATACAGCTTGGAACACCCATGTTTAACGTCAGTGGCTGCCTGGTGACATCTGAACGGGCTGCCTTTTCAAGGGGGCTCTTTGACCACATGATCTTGACGCAAGTTCCAGCGATTGCATAACTTATTATTTGCATTTAGTAACCGAGCTGCGTGCAACATACCGAGCGGGAAGCTGATCTGGTCACACATCCCGAGCAGCTGTCCAAAGTAAACTTTATTCTCGGTGGGTGAGAGACCCATCTCGTTCATCCTGAAAAAACAGAGAAGCACATCGGAGCGTTGTTGAGTAACTGGGGGCTGAGGGTAGTATTCCAGCACTGATTTGGTTACATCATTCTGGACCCACACACGCTTTGGAAGTCCGAAGGCATTAGTTTAAACCCTCAAGAGTTGATCCTTTTGTGTATGTTCAAACTGAACCTACACTTAGCTGTATTTAAAAAAACTCAAAGCTTACTTTTCAAGAGTGAACTTCACTGTGTCCTCGTTGTGAGATGCAACCATGACATTTGCTTTTCTGCTGTGTTCGATCTCCTCCAGCACATACTCCAAACACCTGGACAGACAAAAAGACGCATGGTTAGGATTTAAACAATTTCTGACTGGAGCTCAATAGGGGCTTTACAATAGCTCCACACTTACTTATGATACATCCTGTTAGTGGCCTCATAGTCTGGGTTTATTGGATCCTCATAGCCAATCTCCTGGGCCCTGGCCCTCTCTTGGTACATGTAAGCACCACGAACAAGTTTGGCACCGAAGTACCAACCCTCTCTACGAGAGAGCTCGACGTCCACAGTCACGTTGTCATAGGCCTCCTGATAGTCAGAGAATATCAGAAACATGTCAAATAAGGAAAACAGAACATGTTTGCCACAAAATGATCAAGTACCGTATTAACAAACCAGATAACTTTTACTTTCTCAATATAAAATTTAAGCTTTCCCTGAGATTTGGTTAAATAGCCAAAAGCTTTTGTCAGGAAGGTTTTCTATAATTTGATAGAATGAAAATGAAAAATAATCAGGAGTCACCATTAAATCTCTACAACTCTACTATAACCTCTGATCCATCTTAGGAAACCTGAGATAATAAGTAGGAAATAACGATTTGTGGTCTCACCTTAAGATAACACTGATATGTGTTGAAAATCACTGGTTTTTCTCTGTTGAATTTCCTCTGCATCTCCAGGGCCAGTCGACTAATGGCTGGCTGGAAGTACGTCTGCTCAGCATCCACCATCAGCCTCACCCCGTTCTCCAAGGCGTGCTGAGGAAGACAAAGCATTTCTGTGTAGTTCTTCCAGATTTACAAGAACATCTTTGATTTTCACATTATTGATTGTTTTAAACATAAATAAAAAGAAATATATATATTTATGACAGAGCATATATCTTTCGACGGTTGGAGGAGGCAAGAGAACAAAAAAATAATACACACACAAATGAAAAAAAAGGATGCATGAATAGATAAATGACCATTTTCAATTGAATTTTGCCTTAACTAGTATCCAAAACCTAAGCTAGACATCTGAATATGTAAACGTGTCATGGACATGTTAAATATCATTGTGCCAAATTGAAATAAAAACTGTTTGACGTCCTCACCTTTGCCAAAATATCCACTCTCTGCAGCATTCTCTTCATCTGGCTCTCCTCCTCAGATGTAAATTTGTTCAACAAAGGCTCCAGATGGCCTGTCTACACAACGACAACACAAAGAGAATAACTCACTTCCATTTGCAGTTTCAATGAACAAATTTAGCGAAAATAACTTAATGTGCCAGAAAGGGAGGAGGGAAAACAAGAAGCAGTTTGAGCATCTCTTAACAGTTTGCTAAGTTTACCTTTTCATAATGTTTGCACTGAGCTTCCCTCAATTACACTGTTTAGATAAGAAAATGCTCTTCAGCTCAGCCTTAGTACCAGTTTGGCAAATCCCAAAGAACAGAAGGTTTCCAATTACTGGAACACTATATCCAGTTAGAATACGGTAAGAGGCTATGAGATTACGGTACTCATTACAAGTTATTCTCTTGTAGGGAGGAGGTCAATTTCTCTCATCATAAGCTTAATTGTTTAACTTTCCACAGGACCTGTTATTTGGCCACTTTTTTATCAGTATCAAGTTATTATTATTAGTAGTATTAAAATACTTATTATTAATAAAGCTTCATATGACAATGACTTACCTCAATGTTAGGTACCATAAGCAGATTGGACATTTTTGTTGTGTCATTTATCAAGCTGTTCCAGTCCAGCAGATCTATTGTTCTGAAAAAATGCAAATATTGTTTTTTTGTTTTAAAAAAAGGCAAAGTACGGGCTGCAATCATTCAAAGTGTAAAGATCAGCGTGTTTGAGAGATCTCACATGCATACGTCTTCTGTTATTTGTTTAGAAATGAAAGATCATCCTACCCTGACACCCCCAGCTTCTCTCCTGTGAACCAGTTCTCAATGTCGTCTTTGGCTCCAACGCCCAGTTCAGCCAAACTGTCCTGCAGGGCAGAAGGTTTCAAAATTAAGGAGATATTGGAATTTTTATCAATAACTGCATAGCTCAGAGAGTTCTGATGAGAAGAGCAAATGATAACTACTAGGAATTCTATGGAGCTTTAGGGGATTGTCACCTAACTTGTACAAGCATGAATACGCATTAAGCCCAAAGCCCTGACACACACCTTCAGCTGCTCCAGTTCCAGCCTCTGTTCCAGAACTGTCATGTCAGATTTACCCTGCTGCTCTGCAAGGAAGTTGAAAAACTGTCTCCATTTTACCAGAACTTCTGAAAACTGGAGCTGTTAAAACACATAAAAAAACATTCACCATCCCGTTCTTATTCAAGGCATTTGTAGGATCGGCATTTTCATTTAAGAAAATGACTATTTTTTCTTCAGGTGGTTAGACCCAGATGATTAGGATTCATCACCTTGTCTGAATCATGTAAAGTTATCTATTGGTTAATGAAAGAAGACCTGAACTTACAAGAAACTGCGGCCGTCCCAACGCCGTCATTTTGATGGCAGAAAATCCGTCAGTGGAAGCTCCACCTAAAATGGATAAACCTCAAGCTATTTGAAGATGCCTAACCATAACTGACTTAAATCAGCCATGAGACCGGAACCGTGTCTATTCTATTTAAAAACAAAAAAAAATCGCCTTCTGGAAACTAATTACCTGAGGCTTTAATGCAGTTTATGAATGTTTCCATTTGGTTGTCACATTTGGACTCATCTGCATAGAAGTAGGTGCGAGCACTGATGACTCCCCCACGCCGGTCCCCGAACTGACGATGAGCCTTGTACTTCTTCTCCCGATGACCATCACCTGAAAAGAATAACATAACGTAAGCTGTGAGACTGGGCAACGTCAAGTCATCCCCCCAAAAAAATTCAAATAACCTATTATTGGTAAGTTATTCATAAATAATAATTAGATTCACAGCCTTTACCAATCAGAACTATTAATTCACCAATTACACTGTGGTAGAACTCTATTTATCCTGAATCAGTAACAACAACAAAAAGTGTTTTAGAATTTGTGTGTTTTTAAATATATTATATATTTATATGTATACATCAATAAATATATATGATTACTTCTTAAGCAATAACTCCTTCAAACAAGCCGAACTTGATCTCAATGTAGCAGCTGAACTGGAGCGCTTCATTTCCAGCTGTAACTAGTGCAGTCCGGACCAGACAAGATGGCCACATGACATAACAGCATGCTGACCCGACACAGCGTGGATCTGCATTGCAATTAGGCCGGGGCCAAGCAACAGGACATCAGAGCAACCCAGCAGATCAGCCGGCTCGGAAGCCTGTCCTTCTTAAAGATGGAATGGAAATGTAGCAATTTTGTGCACGTACCTGCACTTTCCTTCTCTGCCTCAGAGACACAGGAGCTGGAAAAGAAGGAGAGCTGGGCATCAGAAAAAAACACTGCCACATGATCAAAGAATAAAGTCCAACCTAACACTTTTTTTACTCCTCATGTCACTTTTGTTGCTTTCTGTCTATGTAAATCGACCAAACTGTGACATGCATAGACTCAGGAAAGGCCGTATTTGTTTTCTAGTGCAGTTTGGGAATTTGACTACAAAGAACAAAAGTTCATCATTCCTCCCATTTTCAGTGAGGTGTCATTCAGGTGAAGCCGTCTATTCTTTCAACATATTTAAAGAAGGTACTGACAAATAAAGAAAAGGTTTATAGTTTGTAAACTATTGAACAGAAAAACATTTTGTTTTCCTCCAGATAACATTGCACAACACTTGCGTGCAACTGACTCATGGAAGAATCCAGCCCTTCCCTAATGACTGACAGGCTTTCCCTTCATATCCACCCCTCCAGCTGCACCCCCAGACCAGCCAATCAGAGGAGAGAGGTCTGTCCTGACAAACCAATAGAGGAAAAGAACTCTGTGACTGAGATTAAATATAGCACATTCAGTATTATGGTCCATTTATGAGTTGGAAGGTATTGCGTGACCCAGGTGACTTTAACAAGAAGCATAACAGAAGCCTGACCTTAAGCGATAAGATTTAAGACCACTATCATTAAAAGGAAATCCAGTGGAATATTTTACCAAGTCTAAAAGTCACTAGAGTGCATGTGTAAAACTGAGTGACGGTTTACAGATTATTAAAATGAAGTGATTAAGGTAGGCTTTCTAAACTGTATTCTAATCGGCAATGTCATCTTAAAACTTTTAGCATATTGACCTAAACATTTTTCTCCAAAGTTTCGATGTGCATTCAAATCCACACTCGATGCATTTATAACATGGATGGTTAAACCTGCTACTAAAGAAGAACCACTGGCAGTCACCTACAGTATGCTCTCTACAACCACCAGGATGTCTGGCTGCTCTTATAACAGCCAGGCATGGAGAGGGGCCCCGCACAGGGTCTCGCCTACGGCTCTCTCTTTTTTTTTTTTTACGGTTTTGCCTTATTGTTAAAAAAACAACAAAGAAAATGGGCTTGGTCACAGACAGAGCAACATCAGTTAGACGCTGTTCTACAGGGCTCAGATATGCAAACAAACTCTTCTAAGCTGGCTTTTATGAATTCAGTGGGTTGTGTAACGTCTAAGTAAATGGCCCTTTATCCCTTGCAGGAATGGAAAGAAATAAGTAAAAGGGCAAATGCTGCTGCCTTTCACTTGGCATTTCCCTCGTGTGAAGCACGTCTTGAGCAGCCTTTATTTATAGATCATTTGGACTCTGCTAGATGTCAACATTGCTTACTCCATTTCCTTCTTCTCGGCCTCTTCTTGTGTCAGATCTTCTTCCACGCTGTAGTCCAAAACTGCCCCCACACCGAAGGCCTGATTCTTCTGAATCAAGGGTTTGATGGCGTTGTGATCTTCGCCCGCCACAAACTGCCCGTAGAAGGTCATCTTCATCAGCTTCTCAAAGAAGCGCTGACCCAGCAGCTTCCTGCTCAGGTCCATCAACTAAAAACAGAACAAGGCACACGAGTCATTTCATCCCAGTGGTTGGTCGGCTCACCCACAGGTTCTGACACAGTTTGGCGAGTTATTTCCCCCCCCCCTCTCTTTTTCTATCGTAGTTATGTGACGGATAAACCTTAACTTACCTCTTTGTTTTTTTCAACGAGGAAATCAATCGTGCAGAGCTTGAAGACGAGCAGACTTCGGAGTAGTTCGACGTTCCCTTTGCTTTTGTAGGCTTCCTCTGTGTTGTCGAAGTCGATTTTTATTCTATTCAGCCGCGGGATTTTCATATTTTTGCTCTGGCTGATGAGTTCGACCGGCTCAGTTTCCACCACGGGACAGCCGTCGATGTGCCTCTTCTCTTCCTGACTCTTGGGGGATGCTACGGCTGACCGACATCTCGCAGGTGAAAGGCGTATTTTCGTGATGGTGCCCTGCTTCGCACGCACGAGAGACGAGGCAAACTTCGCGTACGACATGGTTCTCCTACCTGAGCCGAGCTGCTGGTGTGTGTTCAGTCTGGGCCGGGGTGTCTAAAGAGGGAGAGCTGAGGAATGGCTGAACCAACCCCTCGCGGAGGGGCGGCGCGTCTCACATGTCCCTGCTCGCGCGCCTCATGTCGGGTTTCAGCAGACGTCACATTTTTCTGCCTCCCGGAGAGCAAACTTATTTTCTTTCTCGTGAATTAAATTTTCTCACGGAGGGTCTTGACAGAGAATAAATTTCCATTTTTAAATAGGCAAACCCTACGAAAAAGAAGTGATATAGCCCGCGGCTGTCTGGATAACTTGTTCGTTTGGTTTTAGTGAATGCAACAGAAGTGGGACACGTTGAGGAGATTTTCAAACTTGACAGAACGTCAGTTTATGAAAGGAAGAGAGGGAGAGATGACAGACCAGCCTCCGGACATAACCGTTGTCAGTATCTTATTTAACAGTACTACCAACACCGTGGCCACTGTTTTACATCTTGTGTTAGAAAAGTGAGATGTAACTCGCCATTACGTCACATAAACCGCTTGTATTGGTAAATTGATCAGAGCAGCATAACTTAAAAAAAAAGTTATAACACGTTTTCTATTGGAAGATATTTTTTCCTTTATTCTGACTGGAAATTACACGCATCAAACACGATAGAAAGATAATTGCTGCTCTGTAAATATTAATGGTTATAATAGATATTTCTGTCCAGATATGATGGACAGGCTGAGAAGGTTTCCTGTCTTATACTCCAGATAAGTTTTGGACATGATCATACATTTACTTAGGACAAATAAAAACACTAATCTCAATATTTTTACTTTAAAACTCCATCTAGATCAGAATCCACCATAAATAATTGTTTGAACTTAAAAATATTTTAATGAAAATACCATAATTTCTATGTTAGATTAACTAGTAGAAACCTGACGTCCTCTACTCGGAACAAACTGTCTCAGAACAAACACAAACTGCTCTCTTAAAATAGCCAGACGTGTTTTCTGTGTAGGTAACTTTAAAAAACATCTCGAGACCTATAGTTTCCAATAGGTGGTAAGAGGTGGTTTGTTTGTTTTCTTTATCGTTTTTCCTATGCAACATTTAGTTTTGATCATCATCTTTTGTTTTATTTGTCCTTTTGCGAAGCATTTTGTGCTTTGTAAATATCTACTTTTACTAACCGCTACTTGCAGTACGTGAACGCCACAGTAATATTACTGGATAACGGAGGGAGGCAGTAATTAACTTTTTCTGCCAATCTTCTCCCGGAAGTAGTAGAAGAAGTAGAGCACCGTTTCGGTTGCTAGTACGCAAGACGAATAGTGCAGATACGGGCAGCATTAAATCTCCCGCAAACGGAGTTATTACTTGCACAACAAGGTAACCATGCCTCTGCAATATTTTTTATATTATTTTGATATATTTAACACGCACTACCTATTACAAGTTCTGTGAATTGCTAGAGATATTAGTGAATTTCAGCTGCAGCCCACACTAGTAGCCCAGCTAGCTGACCTTACTTTATTAACAAAGAGACTCGCCTGGAATATAGATTAGCAGTTGTGGGAATCGTTGCAGATATACGTGTTTAACCTGGAGTCCAATAGAAAAATCTCAGCTAAATTATGTAAGATACGCGACTGATCATCAGATATTCTCGCCGCACGCCTTGCTCGGGCACGCAACGCCTCGTTTGCTAATGCTACTAGCTAACAGCGTTTAGCCGTAGCCTCGACATTGTTTTAGCGCTCAGCTAAAGGTGAGTGCAGCGACCTCATTGTGTGCAATTTTAAAGCAAAGGCGTAGACCTGCCGACCTTGATATTCAAGATAAACTTGAAAATGAAACGGCCATGGTCTAGCTCTTCGGCAGACCAGTTTGGCTGGTTGACCAGCCATTTGATTGAAAGCCCCGAAACATCCCCAAAACAAGAGAGACAGATCAGGAGACTGGGGGGGCGGGGGTTGCACTGCAGCATGGGCACACAATTTATGTTTGTATTTAAACAAATGTGCTATTTATATATATTTTTTCCTTATTTAGGTTTACGTTAGTATGCGTTTTTATGATTGATATTTTTATGTCCTGCCAGGTGAATCGCTTAATAATATTTTGCGTAAGATTTGCCCACGGTAGTTTGTGCTTATACACACTGTAGGAAGACCTTTATCACCTGAATAAGGATTTATGACTTTTTGGGTTTTTCCATGAAATGCTCATAATTCCAGTTTATACAGCATCAAACTGTTACTGTTTATTACTATGGTAGTATTGTAACTATGTACTAATACTTTATTCAAGCTGTTGAACATTATTCACCTGTGTTTAAGGTTCCAGGCATGGATCTGATGTCATGTGCTATGTTTTTTTCGTTTTCACTCAGTCATCATTCACCACTGTCACGGCTGCATCCCTGGTTTATAGATTTGCTTTTTCTAAATTAAGGAATTGGCTACGGATGGACTAAGTTTTGGGAATAGGATAAGGACCTCTTCCACAACTATTTCTGACACCAAGAAGTGATCTTAAAGTCTGCAGGTGCCCCCATTCTGTGTCAGCAGTGAAACCCTCTCAACCACCATGTCTGATGGCCGCATTTATGTGGGGAATCTTCCCATGGACGTCCAGGAGAGGGACGTTGAGGATCTCTTCTACAAATATGGAAAAATTCGGGAAATTGAACTGAAGAATAATAGGGGAACCATCCCTTTTGCCTTCATTCGATTTGAGGACCCACGGTGAGTTTTTGGGATGGTCTCTGGAAAGTCGAATCACATTCCCGTTTCTGGACACCATAAGTTCTCTGCTATACTATCATCTCCGGTGACCACCAGCATGGGATGGATGGAGACCTCATCCGCCTGTGTCGGCTAGCTGTTCTTTGGTAAGGAGGTCTTTGCTCTCTTCTCTTAGGGATGCAGATGATGCCGTCTATGGAAGGAATGGATATGGATTTGGGAACTCCAAGCTGCGTGTGGAGTATCCTAGATCCTCTGGTAAAACTGGACCAATGGGAGCCGCTCCAGGAGGACCAAGAGGAAGGTTTGGACCCCCAACACGAAGATCTGAATTCCGGGTCATAGTGACTGGTAGGTGGATGCCATGAGTGGTAGCCAGTTTATATTAATCTCTTTCGGTGCGGCCTGGAAATCAAAGGGACTAGTAGGATCATAGGAGTCGTAGGGAGCTATATCCCCCCCTCTCTCTTGGCGGACTGGAGGACAAGGGACTAGTAAATGGACGTCATGAGTCATAGGCAGATATGTCTCTCTCTCTCTCTCTTGGCGGACTGGAGGACAAGGGACTAGTAGATGGACATCTTGAGTCATAGGCAGATATGTTTCTCTCATGGCGGACTGGAGGCCAAGGGACTGAGTGGATAAGGTCAAGTCTGCTTCTAAAGTCATGAAAAAGCAAAAAAGCAAACAATCCGGTCATGTTGGCTGAATAACCCCAAACTCCAGCTGTAGTGACTGGTAGGTGTGATTTTGTCATTGTGCATTATTTGTTTTATAATTTGTTTTGTACTTGGACTGCTTGTCTAACCCTTATAATGTAAGGTGTCATATTGCTGTCTGTATTAACTGCTCACCCCCAGTGTGACTAATGCACTGTGGGTGTTAGGCCATCAGAATAAAAGTTTAACATTTCCTTGAGTTTAAGCATAAAAATTGTCATCCATTTCCAGAATGTTTTAGAAAGGCTCTGCTTGGCTATTGCAGACTGTACCATATTATTTGGAGAAGTGGGTAGAGTTCTACGTCCTGACGTTTAATTAAATTGTCAGAACATTCTTTTATTAAACAATTAATTGCAGCACCATCACTGACTGTCCACTTTTATCTTCTCAAGCTCCTGTTTGGACATTGTATTTCGATATAAGCAGTGAGTAAGTTCACTGAAGAAAAAGCTATTGGAAGTGCTGCACGTTAACATTTGGGTGTTTAAGGAAACCAAAAGATGGACAATCACAAGGCCTGATTGTCAGTTTAAGAACACTATGGACCGGCTGTAACTCAGCAGTTACAGATGTAGATTCCCCTGCAGCATGCAGGCTTCATTATATGTGGATAAGAAATAATAAGAATAATAAAAATTCGCTACGTTATTCAAATCAAATTGAAATCTTATAAGGGAAATCTATTTTTTTTTTTTTAAAGCTCATCCCACTTCTCCATCTCTTTACAACTACTGTGTTTAGACTTGAGAGAAGAATGATGAATAAATAAGAAGCCATGCCTTTTAAGTGAGTTTATACTCTGAGTCATGTCAGTTTTGAGATGCCAAGCACACTATTGCAGGGATGTTATGTTCCGTTCTTCTTCACCTCTGTCCTTTTCCCTTCAGGGCTACCTCCAACTGGGAGCTGGCAGGATCTGAAGGATCACATGCGAGAGGCGGGAGATGTTTGTTTTGCTGATGTGCAGCGAGACGGAGAAGGCGTGGTAGAATTCCTCCGCAGGGAGGACATGGAGTACGCGCTACGCAGACTGGATCGCACCGAGTTCCGGTCACACCAGGTTTGTGCCATAGATGGCGTGGTTTGTTTGCTCTCCATCTTTAGACTGTAACATTGATTTCTTTTCTTTATTTTTTCTTTATTTATTTTTTTTAGGGGGAGACCTCTTACATCCGTGTTTATGAGGAGAGAGGCGCTCCCAGCTGGGGGCGCTCCCGTTCGCGCTCCAGATCCAGAGGACGCTACTCCCCTCCCTTCTACAACAGAGGATCTCCACCCATGCGCTACCAGTCACCTCCACGCCATGCTATGTCCCGGCATAGCCCGCCTCCCAGGAGGCACCCCTCACAGCATCACAGTCCGCCACCACGTCACTACCGATAGACAAGAATGGTCGTCCGTTTACGGAAGAATTGGAGGAAGTGTTTTGTAATTCAGCATTTTATCTTTTTTTTTTTTTTCTCCCAAAACTCAGGCCTCCTGGTAGGACAACATTGTGGTCATATATTTTGCATTTTTTGATACGTACATTCCATGGTCAGAAAAGAAATGAACAGCCTGCTCCTCCCCCACAGCCTTAAAGATTGTTTTTTAACACAAATTATAGGACAGCAGGATCGGTATGTTTTTTTTTTTGTGTGTGTGTGAATCATTGTTCAGCATCTTTGAGATTTATTAGTTGTTTTTTTTTTATTTTTTATCTTTATGGTCGCATTCAACAGGACTGAGTTAATATGTATGTTTTGTCCAAAGCTGATAAGTCTGCAGCTCTCAGGCTGAACACTGAACTACTTCTTTAACTGACTAAATTACTTGTTACTTGTAGTTCGCTTCAGGTGTTTGCCAATATTAAGAACCTGTGAAGCTTATCGTTGTTGTAAAAATTGGTGAGCCATTTTATTAATTGACTATGAGCCTCCTTTTCTCTTTTTTTTTTTTTTCATTTTGCCCATTTAAACGTGTGAATCGTTGCCTGAGGTGATCTGTTGGTAGAATATAATTTCAATCCAGTATTCTTTTTTTTTCTTATCAATAAAATGCAGTCTTTTACTGAGTTTTTTTTCATTGTTTGCACAGAAAATCTTTCATTTCAGTGTTGGAAATCTGTCACCTGACTGAAGTATTGGTGTTCTCTCACTACAGCGTGACCTTATAACACACCAAACTATCAGAGCACTACCTTCTAGATCTGAAAAAATACTCTTAAAATGCAAAATGTGACCTGAGAGTAACATGGCCATACAGAACAAACTCCAAATTGATATTTCTTTCAATTTTTAAAGATTTTAGTCACTAAATAACTGGAAAATATACAATTTTAAAATATTGTGTTCTTTTATAGGGACTTTTCAGTGATAGTCAGCAAATGCAACACATCAGAATATGGTCGGTCAAATAAGGCAACATCAAAATGGCCTGTTAAAATATGGGACAGTCTCCATGCCATCTCAATGGCTGCAACAATCTAGTCTAGAAGTGTATTTGACACATTTTATTTGAACATTTTTAGTGAAAATAAAACAAGGCACACAGATTGCAAAATATAAGATTTTTAATACACCATGAATTAAATTTACTTGGGGACCATTTGAATAGACACAGAAAAAAATAAATATATTTATTTCCAATGGTTTACTTTTTATCTTTTCATTATAATCAGACCAGGTCCATATACAGACATCGTATTGCAATTAATAAATATGTACCAGCTTATTTTTTGTACAACAATTCTGCTTCATTTCCACACATTGTATACACATAGTTTATCTTCTGACAACAAACAGCAATACACAAATAGTAATACTTGGGCATGATTGCGACCATATGGAGACACATCAGCAGTGATATTAAAACACTATATCTTATACCACAGTGAATTTTTGCAACTAGAAGTGGCACCCCCCAAAAAAAGAAACCCTGATCAGCATTGCTTTGTTGATTTCCGGCAATGTTTGAGCACTGTTAATTTACTAGTAAAATGTTTGAGACATCTCCAAGCTGTCTTTCTCACCAAAAGTAATTTTCTACCACCTACAGCTAAAAAGAGTTCAGTACAGTGATGTACAACTCAAAACAAATGTAATCCTTTACCATTTGAACATTATTGCTGCACTGGAGTACAGACCATAGACGGGAAACCCTTTGTCTGGAAGAGTGATGTTAGAGCAACTACGATTCTGCAGGGACATGAAAGCTGGAGTCAAAAGACGAACGTCATCAGGTGTAGTCACACGTCAATCAGTGCATAGAGGTGGTCAGCTACAGAAGGAGCACACGGTGGGAGGACTTTGTCTGGTACCGCCGAAAGAGATGATTCTGTCTATGCAAACTACATTATGTTTCCTGCTGGGCTGCACGGAGTTCAGGTCTGCACATCCTACAGGCCAGCAAATGTTGGAAAGGCCAGAAAAAGGTAGGCAACATGTCTGTAAAGATGCAAGCAAGTGAGAACTAATGAGACACCACCTACTGTAGCACCCACCTCTGTGGCCAGCTGTTGTTTACTCATGGCAGCTATCAATTCAGCTCTTAAAAGAACGTGCACTTGTATCACATTATGTGTAACTTAAGTAAATGATTGTGACAGCATATAAATAGAGTGAAGAATTTGGTTGTTGTATCCCTGAAACAACAGCTAATTTAAGGCAAAATGAAAAAAAACAAACAGCCCCAAGCAGTTCCAACAAGGGTACATTCACTGGGTGAACAATAACACTTTACAGGCATTACTTGAATCGCCTGAATATAAACAGGAGCAAAAGGGGGGGGGGGTTGTTTTACAACTGTTTTTTGTAAAATGAGCAGCTATTTTTACTTTATATCTGCTCAACACTTCGTTAACATCAATCCCTCCTTTCTCAAAAATTTGACTTATCAGGGGTTAGTGCCAGTATGTCTGCAACACGTTAGCACAAAGAATCATGGGACAGTGGGGGTGAAGAGTCCAGCATCATTTGTTTTCTATGAGAGTCTGCACTTTGTGGACCAAGTCTCGAGCCATCATCAAGACCTGCGGGACGTCATGACGCTCTGCCATTTCTAAGAGGAGAAGCAATACATTAGTTTGGCTGACAAAAGCAGCCTTTCTTTCCATCTAGAAAACATTAGTTAAAAGAAAGCAATTTTAATTGGAAAATTGGAAATTGTGCATGAAATCTCTGAATAGTATATTGTTCTTAAACAATGTCACAATGGACAGTCGTAAGTTGTCTTTCAATTCTACCTCCACCAGACTGTAGCCTTTACATTCGTCTTTTATATTCTCACCATTGAAAAACTTGATGATGTCTGTAAAATCCATGTTATTTTCCAAGATGATGTCCTTATACATCTCTACAAGGGCCAGAGCAATGAAGAGCACAAAGTGTTCAGAGGACGTGTTTTGGGCTGACCAGATGGTTTCCCACACAGAGAACACATCGTCGTACACCATCTCTGAAAGGAAAAGACGGACAAATACATGTTTTGTTTTTTTCAAGTGAGATGGCAAGTTCACTTGCAGGCATTTTATCCAAAAAATGTTGTCCCATCATTTCCAAACCCACCTCTTTTGAAGTCAAGAAGAAACCAGCGATAACAGAAATAGAAGTGGGTGTAGTCTCCATTCTGCTGCATCAGTTCAAACAGCTCAGAGTCCAGGATCTGTTTGTTATTGAGGCAAACTGTTATCATTACACTGTGGCTTGAGTGTATGCATATGTCTGGAACATTTTGGGAGGGGGAAATCAAGTGATTAACAATGTTTAACATGTACAGAAGTGAACAAGCACACAAGGATGACATTCCATTGCTACCACAAAACCCACAATGACCTATCCCCATGGTCACTGGATTTACACAAGAAATGTACCTGCAGTTTTGACTGGATTTACTGAGTGAGATATTTCCAATATTTTGACATTGACAAAGGGGGCAAAAAATGTTTAATAAGTGGACCAAGCAAGTCAGTCATATTTTTGTTGTCCTACATAATTAACAGAATGAATGATCATTAAAAATGCAAGCTATTGGTGACGTGACAGTGCTGTAGACACAGACATGCACCATAAGGTAAGACTTTGGGACTTTATTTTGGAACAGAATATAACAGAATAACATCTCCTTTCACTCCTTTGTCCCCAGATGTTTTCTTCATCACAGTTTACAGTGCTTATATAACCTTATTATATGATAATCTTACACATTCATCAAATGCGGGCTACAAGTCATAAGCTGTGCTGTAAGATGACTTAGCCAAAAATATGAACATACCTGTATAAGTGAACGCATGTTGGCAAAGTGAGAGTCCATGGCACCACCATGTGGAAAATTCTGGTTCATCCTCTTCATCAATTCAGTGAAACAGCTGAAGGCCATTACCTCTGGGAAGATCCCATCCCCCCAACACACATGCATATTTCATATGTAATATATGCATCCAATTATGAGCACTTGTGGAAAGCTTGTACATAATTAACCAACATTTATGTTTTACTGACCATCATCAAGAATAACCAGAAGAGGAGCCAGAAGATCACACATGCCCTGCACATACCCTATATCCAGATGCTGCCACACATAACTGTAAAGATAATCACATTTCTTGTTTGTTTTTTCAATTTTCTATGGTTGAAACAAACCTCAGATGAATGGCACTGTGACGTGGTTACCTGCACATGATGTTACGCAGCTTCTCCAGATTCTCAGGAGTGAAGTACCAGTATGTCCTGTCGCAGCGTCTGACATCTTTGTCAATGCGATGCAGGTTGATCAGGTACATGTCCAGCGTTTCTTGCTACAGACACAATAACACTCTCAGAACACGGTAAAGACGATGAGAAACACTGCCTTTGTGTCTCTTTGTCATGTGTATTGCTTACAGAATAGGTTTGCTCCTCTGAGGACTCTTCATATCTAATGACGTCTCCCGTTTCTGCAGAGACTGGTTCAGTGAGTGCATTGTCCATCTCAGGCTCCTCCTCAGAAAGGCCCAGGTCAGTGGCCTCAGGGCTGGTGTTAGAAGCCGTGTCCAGATGGTGTTCGGGGAGGTCTTCTGCTGCCATTTTCTGTCTTTGTGCCAGTGAGACAGGAGGTGCGGCAAGGCCCACCAAAGGCCTGGCCTTAATATCCTCTGAGTTCACGCATGTTATCCCTGCAGGGATATCCTCCATTTCCAAGGCAGAGGGTGAGTCATCAGAATCGGCAGTGTCTATAGACTGCCGGGAGTGTGATGATAATGTCAGACTCCCCCTGGATGCTGACTGAAGAGCATTTAATACTTGTCTGACTGGAGAATTCGAACCGGGTTTCTCAAGATGTATCTCTGTAGCCTTTTTGGTTTCAGAGTTACTGGTGGATGTTTCAGTAATTTCAGGACTTTTGAAGACCTCAGGCTTTTTCTCACTTGGTGCTTTGGTTTCTTCTTGTGCTGTAAGTGGGCGAGAGGTTTCCCCCTCTAGATCTTTGCTCTTGTTCGTCTGAATGGTCAAAGTTTGCCCAAGTGGAGGTGCTTGGAAATATTCGTTATGAATCTCTGTAACCAGCTCCAGAATATTAGTATTCCCAGGAACAGATTTCAAATTCATGTTTGTATCTACTGATTTTAAAACTCCATCAGTTGTTAGGTCTTTATCTTCTTCTTCAGATGGCTCTTTGGACTTGCCAATTCTAGCCTCCAACTCTACCTTACTTTCTATTTTACTATCCATCTCATGCCCTGCATCCTTTCCGTGTGACTCATCCAATGTGAGCAGATCTTTTTCTCCTGCTGTAGTTTCATTGCTGATGATTTTGGGCATTTCAGCTGTCTGTTGAGAAGTTGAATGTGCAACCATTGAGTCGGTTACAGGAGGGTTGTTGTCTGAACCTGGATTCTCATTTGACACACCTGGAGAAGAGGAGTTACATGAGGAAAGTTGTGGACCATCTGTGGTCTTCACTGGGCTGCTTTGCTGTGTTTCTTTCTCCTCAGGCCTGGAGTCAGCTTCAACTGATTCAAAGACCTAGCATTATAACAGAAGAGGTGAAAATGTAAGGCATGTTGTTTACAGTATTGGAGAGACAAATTGCTGTTGGACTACTGACTATTCATGCAAAATACATATTAAAGTAATTTATTAACATCCTTCATCAGTCAAATGGTAAAATAATTCTTTTAACCACCGTTTGTGCTTTTGTCTAAACCAATAACACAAATATGTAAATTATCTCATATAAATACTTATAATCTTAATAAAACAACAATTTCCAGGACCAAATATTCATGAGATCCAAATACATTTGGATGTGAAGATAGGTGATATTTTCCTTAATGATTAAATAACAAATAAATAATAAGGGTGCATTTTTAGATATGTCATCTAAACCACAATCTATTCCTGATGGTGATATTGAATTCTGAGTTTCACTGAATTTAATCAGCTATAGTTATCAAACTGAAATCAATCAATTTATGAATTACCACAAGACTTTGTGGAGATTATTTGGGGCCACAGGTAAGTGTCAGTCATCCCTCTGTTGATCCCTGACTTTTTGTAAACACCGTTATGTTTAGAATTCTGGTTTTAGTGGAGCTTCTCAACAGCTAAAACACGGCTTCTCATACAATACAGTGCAGACACTTACATTAGCCTCAAAATGAGTAGCAATCGCTTCTGTTGTGCCATCATCAAATTACAGTTGAGCTCTGAATACAATACAGCTACCTGTGCACTGCTGCTGGAATCACTCTGTGAGTTGGTGTTCTGCTGGTCTGAGCTGCTACTCAGAGACGACTAAAGTGTCACAGAAGAGACAAAAAGCAGAAAGGTTAATGAAGCCATTTCCTCACTGCATCATCATTAACCTGTTCCCTCTCCTTTCTTTCAGTTGTCACAGAGCTTTCATGCGGTGTTTTTTTATCTTTATAAAGAGAAAAGTTAAAGCTTGCATCTGTGCTGATGGTGGAGTCCCGCTGGACGGGCCCTCGTTCCACACTGGCCCCGGATGAACATCGCGCGAGGGCCTCCGCGTGTTTCTCCCTCTCCCTTTGGCGGACAATAACTTCACAACCCCGCCACTCTTTCATCGTCTGCTCGTACATGGTTCGCATCTGTTCATCAATCTTGCACAGAAAAACAAGGGTAAGTAAGGGTGAACACAACCTACTGTTCATGCATGCACTACTGCACATCAGCATTGCATATGTAATACCTCCAGTCTGCATTTCTCAGTCATGGTGAACTGGTAATGTCCCAAAAGGAAAGGCCAGACCTCTTTTCGAAGTGAAGGGGCCACACCACCAAAATATACAAGCCGGTGTATTTCCTTTTCTTCGTAGGCCTGAAGATAGAAGTTTTTTTCAAATAATTCCCTCTTGCCAAAAAACACAGGATTTGAACATGATTCTACAGCATTGTGTGTTTCGATCTTACAGAGCTGTCCTTGAGGAAATTTCCCCAGACCTCCACAGAAAGGCCTCCTCGAGCATCACAGGGTACCTGAGGGTCAACTATGGTGGTGTTGACCAATGCAGAGAGGTGTGTGCGAACTGTTGACAGATGGCGACAGTACGCAAGCCCTGTAGAAAAAAAAGTCTTCTAATATGGACACCAACTGTTGGAACAAATAAGAGCGGAATGTTTCCCAAATTGTAAACAAAGTGAAGAACATAGGTTGACACTCACATCCATAAAATGCCCGAGAGATTATCTGGTATTTCATTGTGTCACAAAGGAGCTTCAAGGGAGCCCTGGTAAAGTTGGGAAATGGCAGATTTAGTCAAGTGGAATGATTGGATTTTCAAGTTGAATCACTTCCTAGAAAACACCTACCTTTCCTGATTGCAGCCATTAGGCAGAGAGCCATCAGAGGACCCATTCTGTGAGCAGGAAGAACAGGAGGACTTTCGTGGCGTTGGCTGCCACATATTAACACCCTGGTCCATCATATCCAGAGCCACTGAACATCAAAGGAGCTCTTATCACTTTTGTTGCTATTACCAGCATCACAAGCAAGCAAAAGCAGGGAAACGCTGACAGGTTTGAACACTGACGTTCACGTATACAAATGATAATTACTAAAAAAGGAGAAAAAAATAGGAAAAACACACTACATGAGAAAATAAAGATGGAGATGTGGCAAACAAATTACAATATTACAAATGCAGCAACATTGCCAATATTTCACTTTTGTAATAAATAATTAGTCAATGCTGAAATTATCACAGCACATTATATGATAAAATAGTGAATCAATTGTGGATGCAATCTCAAAGGATTCTTCAGAAAAAACTTTACTCAGAGGGAGACACCTACTGAACTCTGTGTGACTGCCCGGAAAGAGGATCCGAAACACATAATCAGTTGCCTCATCATCTTCCTTATCTGATACAGAATCACATGAGCCATGTGGACTCCTCTTGCGCAGTTTGGGGAAAACCTTTCCCTGTAGAGGAAGACATTCTATTCATGCATGCTAATTCGAAAGAATATTCAAAGTATAATTATTGTAATAAAAGCAAACAGATATCGGTGAGCATTATTTATGTTGCTATGTAGTGAAATGTGTACTGACCTTTCCTCTCTGATTCCAGAGTGGTGGGTCCAGCTGGCCATGAGGCAGCAGGCCAGTCTCCAGGCAGGTGAGGAACTGGAGCAGGTGACCTCCTTTGGGAAAATGTAGGGGTGGCCTCTGGATCCCGTCCTGGCTCACCAAAACTACCGTTCCACCACTGTTTACTGGATGTATCGACGTAATCAAAACCAGCTTAATCAATAAGTTGTTGGAAGCTTTACTTGATTTTTTAGAATATTACTATACCTTGCTGATGACAGTGAAGATACACAATCTCTTCCAAGCGAATTGTCATGGCGAAATCCCAGTAAACACTAAGAAAAAAGATGGGTAATACAAGGCACTCAGTAAGCTGTGTGAAAACAAGGACCCATGTTCTACTAATCAACTTTAACCTCTTTTCAGAATCAAGCTCTCCAACGTTGCCATTCATGAGCTGGTTTGGAGTCCACTTCAGTGTCATGACATCTGCAGTCTGGTGAAGAGAAAGGTAGCCTGGAATGGCCTCCATGTCATCTCTCTGCAGGCACAATAAAGAAATGATCGATTCCACAATGCAGCAATATTCCAATCAGCTACTGAGAAATCAATTAGAACAGGCACATTGTTCCCCCAACAGTATTCTATTAATTTCTATTTTTTTAAGAAAAGAATGAAATATGACATACCGGCTGCACCAAGACGTTGTTCTTTCCAAATAGAAGTGTGGTTCTAGAGTTTTGGTGCAATGATTCAACATAATCCCTCACCCACATAAGAGGGCGATCATCCATGCTCCCACTGGACTGTCTCTTTTGGATCTGAAAGGTTTAGAGTAACTCAGAGTTATTATGCAAGTGAAAAAAAAGGTTAAGTGCTGGTTGTTCCACAGTGAATGGATGAGATATTTGACTGTCCTACCAAGGCAGGTCTCCTGGAGGGGGAGTCCTGTCGACAGTGGCTGCTGTGGATTCGATGGCGCTGCACAAGCTCATCGGCAGACGGATCCGTCCAGAAATGATCTGCAGTCTTAACTTTGGTGTACTCCAAAGCACAAGGGCCGACTGTCAAAGAACATTCAAAGGCTTAAAGTGGAGCTGTGGGCAATCATTTATATATAAATAGAAGGACGATAAGAAAGTACCCAATAGAGATGCGAGAATTGGTCCATCCACAGGATCCATCAGCATGGCTTCTTTATCATAAAAAGAACTAAACAGTACATGGATTAAAGTTTTTACATTTTCAATAAAATATCATTACATTTGTATGTATGTGTGTGTATATACATTTGTTTTGTTTTTCCTTATATGAAGGAACTAATCCATTAAAAAAAAAAACATAAAAAAAGGAATGAATCCATACAACATAACTACACCTGCTGTTTTCCACCAAATACAGGACAATCTTGTCCAGCAGCTTTTCCATCAGAGCTGTTCGAATCCACAGGTTCTTCAGGGCTTGAGGAGGGAGATGGGGTAACTTAGACTGCCGATTGCGGTCATTATTCAGTGAGGAATTGTTCTGCTTGCTAAAAGACAGAAAACAAAACATATCTGTGTCGGCTCCTTAGGAACAGATACAATATAAGACAAAAGTCCTCATACATTCAACATGAACATGATATCATGTCAACATGGGGGTTTATTTTTTTTCAGTGAACTGGTGTTTTTCTGGGGAAAGATGACAGTAGAAACTACACTTTCATTGGAAGACATTCCAACAATTTAGAGCATAAATTTGATAAAATGTCACCATATAAGTCAAGTCAAGTCAAGTAGGCTTTATTGTCAATTTCTTTACATGCATTGGTCATACAAAGAATTGAAATTTTGTTTCTTGCGTTCCTGTGCAGACATAGACATAAATTAGATAAGTTAGATAAATTAGATATAAAATAAGAAAATTGTGTGATATAATATATATAGAGTGATCAATTGTAATGTGCAATATTTACAATACAGTCATTCAAGTAACAGGCATGAAGAAAAGCGGCAGCGTGCATGTGTGTGTGTATATGTGTGTGTATGTATGTTTTTGAGTTGGTTCAGTGTGTGTGTGTGTGCGCTTTTGAGTCAAGTGAGTGTGTATGTGTGTGTGTGTGTGTGCTTTGAGTCAGTCCACTGTGTCTAAGACTAAAAGTGAATTCACTTTACGATTTTAGAAATCTTATCTCTGATAGGCAGAAGTGAACATGTCACCTGTTCTCGATAAGCTGCTCCAGCTCATGGACCTTACGGCAGAGCTCCTCAGCAGGGGAGTAGCTCTTCCCCACCTTCATAAAGAGTGCGGCGACCTTATTACTGCACAGCAGACCTGCAATACGACGCTTCAGCCCATGCAGCACACAGGCTTCTACAACAGCTTCACACACAAAAACAAATGGAGTTTAGGCCAATGTTTGGCTACATATTCCTAATACTAGCTTTATCAAAAACCTCTAATGTATTTCTTTATTTCCAACACACAATATATAACAATTGAATATAGTTTTTTATTATCATTATCAAAATAGTGAGAGGAAACCATGGATGTCAATGGTTGCTAAGATATGGTAGAGGTGAATAACCTGTTTCACACCTAGTTAGTTCCAATACATTTGAAAAGCATCTGTCTGTTCTAATATATACTCCATCCACCCACCTAATCAAATATGAATAGATATGATGAGGAAGAGAAAATCATAAGGATTCATATTATCTGAACAAGCTGTGCTAGACAGAGCTTGTCAGAAAATGATATGATATATCAGTTTGTACTGTGGTGGAAAACCCCGTCATTTACAGTATTCAGTTTACAATGAATACAATTAATTACACGGTAGCATATGCTTAGGGATTTGCTATTTCATACAAGAAAACCTATTTTACATCCATGGAGCCCTTTTACATTTGGTTAATCTCCCCCCTAATTCATGTGCTATTTCTTTTTATTTTAACCTTCCTCTGGTATTAGCTTTCTGCTGCCATCTGTAGTGTTAGCGGGTCATTTTGGACCCGTGTATTAAATCAGCCATAAAATACCCTAAAAACAATATTTTATCATCCAATGTTTTCTTAACTCTTGTTTAGCTGGTTGGGCTCCCTTATCCATGAAAAGATTGGTATTAATATTTTTTTGTGGCCCCCTGGGCCTTTGTTTTAACAGCATACCCCTCGTTTTCAATGTCATAAAAGTGGTCAAATGAACCTTAAGAGGAGAAGGCAACAAAATAATCAGTAGTTCTGTTACCTGAGTGTAACTGAGAGATATTAAAACAAATTCTTTAAATGTTCAACAAAAAAAAGATTTTAATTTTAATATCATCAAATATAGTAACGTCTATGGTGTTTCGGGTCATTTTGGACCCGTATATATTTGCTTCAAGAAAAGGGCAAAAACAAGTCTTTTTTTCCCACACAATAGAACTTTAAAACAATATTTAACAATATGAAAAACAGAACAGTCATAAATAATAATAATTTACAATAAAACAAAGATTTGCAAATAAATAAACAAAAACCAATCGAGAAAATCACATCAAAAGAATCAAGTTCTTGTTCTATCAATACTCTGTGCAAAGAACATGCCTGTGTGTGTATGTGTGTGTTTAGATGCATGTGTTGCAAAAAGTGACACTTTTAGTGTGTTCTTTGCTTGATCTGTAAACTCCAGCAAGGAGGAGAACACCAATGTAGGCATCCAGGTACGTCTCATCAATGTCTTTCCATGTGTTGCCATGGACTTTTTTTCCCTCAAGGTTTGTCATAGCAAATATGACTTTTTTTAGTGACAATGGCAAAAAAAGATCAAAGCACGTCTTGATGTCACTTACTCTTGTCACAGCAAACCTCGTGACCCCAGGGGTCATTTGATGATGTTTGCAGCAGCTGTCCTTCCATGCACATCAGGAGGAACTGTGTTCCACCGGATGTTGCCACTTTTGGATTGGAATGATTCAGCAGGAGCAGCTTCAGCACCAGTGACCTCCTCTTCAGACTGATCAGTTGTGTCTGTTTCTTCCAATTGGTACTCCACATCATCTTCGTTCTCAGAGGCCTGCTCATCTCCATCGCTAAAATCCTGTGTATCCTCTGCCTCATTTGCAACAAATATGTGATCCAAAGCTTAATTTACAGTTAATCTTCTCCTCATTGTTGCATCCTGTGAATTGGAGATGTGTACTCTGCAAGTCACCACCTCTACACTCAAATGGCTTGACAAGCCTGGACATGTCTCCCTTTGTTTGTTCTTGCAAAAAGGCAAAGAGAAAAGCCCCTAAATGAAGCTCAAGTGGTTGGAGGAAGAGGCTGTTGGTTGACTGTGTGTTCATGTTTTAATTTTGGGCATTTTTTATTGTTTTATAATAGAAAATTTTAACCGGGTCACAAATGACCCGAACACCACAGAAGTCATTTTTTTCACCAGAGCACTTTATAATTTAGTAAAAAAAAAAAAAAAGATTTTACTTTGTTTAAATGTAAGTCCCTGACAAAGTCAAAAAGTTTCAACTCAAAAAACAAATGTATGAAGTGCTTTTATGCATGTTAAAACTCAAAACGGGTCCGCCGGGACCCTAACACCATAGGAAGGTTAAGTCTTTTTTGAGGTTCAAGTAAAAAATATAACTTGATAAAAGCCATAGATAAGCTCGCTGTGCTATGAAAACAGTCCACAGAAAAAGATTTACCACAGAAGGATATAACGTGGCTGCTGTCTGCATGCACAAATTTCCTCGTTACTGCTTCCTCCATAATTTGTTTCACCTAAGGGAGAGAAAGTGAGACGGTGGAACAAGTCTTCATCAGTCTGGCACAGTTATGTGAGGTGACAATGAGAAGCAGAAAGGAAGCCTTCATGGAATACATTACAGCCTGTAACGGCGAAGCAGACACACATTTCCAACAGCCATTTACTCCACTCACAGTTTTACACCGTAATACACACACATGCCAAACGGGAGAACTGTTGCTGGGTGTATTTGATATGAGTTTCAAATCTTTCAAATCTGATTTCAGTGCTCTGAAGTTTTTTTTTTTTTTTAATCTGCCACTTGCAGATAGAAAACAACTTTCTTTTTAGATTCCTGGTATATCTGTAGATATACTAAAATGCCATTAAAAGCGCTGCTGTATTTAATCCTTTTAATAAAACACACGCTATTCCGAACATTCTAAAATATGTTGTTTGTTTCACTCTTCACTCTTTTATCGTTATTTTCAGATGCACTCGGGCACTACCATTTACTATTGAGAAAAAGTCTGAACAGCTTACAACAACAACATTTTAACTATGCTAACTTAAAACAGAGAAGAAGAAAATTATATTTGTTAATATCACACACTCTTACTTTAATAAACATGGAATAATGGTACAATAATCCACTCTAGTGCAGACTGGTTTGAGATCCCACCTGCTGAGTAAAGAGTCAAATCCTGATATCATGCTCTGAATAGATGTTTGTTTGTTTAAAATGATAAAGTTCCTACCAAACCGCTGGGATTATTTTATCAGAGAAGTTGAGCCATGGAATTAATCCACCTAAATTAATTTAAAGTGGCACTCTGTACTGTATGAAAAGGACATAAAAAGATCCCTACTGGTTCATTACAAGAGTGAATACTGCAAGAGCCCTCCATTGTTTTTGTCCATCTCCTTTATATGAGTAAACAACAATTTTCCCTACATCCATCTACCGTCCATCTATACCCATACATTCTAAATGTTAACCAGTTGATAAATATGATGGGTTCAGAATATGTATAACAGCTAGGCCTCTCCCTGTTGCATGATCAGGAGCCATGGATCTTTTTTCTTTTTTTTTTTTGAGGAGCAGTGAGTCACAGGTGAGGAGGAGCACGAATACAGCCTGGAAGTGCCAAGCACCTCCACCGAATGCTACACCAGTCTGTTTGCTTTTTCTGGGGAATCCTAGATGAGTCAATGATTCATTTGTATTCATCTATTTTAAATGTTTGGTATGACTATATGCTCACTGCTACAGGTTGATGTCCAAATCCATTAATCGAGCAGGTTTGTGCATTTTTTTGTTGTTGTTATTTTGTTTGCAATGGCTCTAAGAGCAACTAGTAAAATGAACAGATGGCAAGGTCACGCCTCTGAGTTTGAAGCCACAACACAATAAATCGATAATAATTCCTTCAAACACACGTTTAACGTTAGCAGCTGGACATTTGCACAAAGCCTCTCCAATGTGTTTATTCATCGATTTAAAATCATCACTATCGTCATCATTATCATCACCATCATCGTCATCGCCAACATCATCATCATCACCATCATCATCATCATCATTATCATCGTGGCTCCAGTCCACCGGCAGTCAGACCCTGCGTGCATTTTCCCACCGGTGCCTCCAACATCACATATAATTGAGGAATATCAACGGCGGATATCACAAACAGGCCCGTGGTGTTGTTGGACACCGATGAGAGACGCTCACACGCACCGCTTACACACCCAGAATACACACACACACACACACACACGCTCTCTCCATCAGCCCACTGCCGTGGAAAATGTTTACAAGGATGAACTGAAAAGACAAAAAAAAAAAAAAAACATGCAAACAAAAACAAACAAAAAAAACACAGACCTCCTTCTTCACATTGCGCAGCAGTTTCTGGCGCGTCTCGGCCTCTGGCACGGGAGAAAACATGATGAATATGCCGATCAGACGCTAGTCTGGGAAATTAGCGGCGATATGCGGCACGGAGCGTACCTCCCATCTCTGTCGGGGCGCGATGTGGCGGCGGACACGCACGGCCGTCTGGAAAATAGCCCGGAAAGCCGCACAGGCAACGCGGTAAAAAGGCAGGCAGGCGCAGGGATGCAGCCACGATATGCTCCCGCAGACTCTATTAAACCTATCTGCTGCCACACCGTGAACCACCACCCCTTTAAAGCCACAGCGCACGTTAACGCCAACGCACACGCGCACGTTTTAAACGGACACGCACTAATCACACAAGAAGGAGACTAAACTGTTTATGTGTCAACTGGATGCATCTTTATGACATCTAGGGAAATTGAAATGCTCCAGGTATTTGGTACCCATTCTTTTCACGTTCCTCTGAAAAGGTAATAGCACAACTTTGATTGGTTTGTTGACCTACACAAAGCCAAGAATTAGACATACAATGTGGCATTGCAGGAACAGAGATGTTAGATTGACAAAAGTGGCTCCCAACTAAAGGACCACAAAAGATAAACAAGTAAGAAAGAAGATAAAAAACATACAATGTCCATTTGTGTGAAAGTTCAGATGAAACAGAAGATTGACCTTTTGACGTTTTCCATATTCAGGTATTAAAATAATAATAATAATAATTAGTGTTAACCACTTTGTACAATTGAGTAAGCTCATTTGGAGGGGAACAAACATACGTGGGCCCAGAACATAACGAAGCATTGAGTTAACATGTTTTCCTGATGGTTCAATAGCTGGTACGATGACCTAAAAAGTCTTTACTTTTGTTTGCTGTTTCCTGATTCTCACATTCTTATGGAGGTAATGTGCTCTACTCCTTTGCCTCATTTGCTACAGCTTTTGCCTACAATCATTTTTGTGGGGCTCTCTGGAGGTCCCGTCACAGCACAATTCAGCCAGTCGGAGGCCTTGATCTAAAATGGTCTGGATGTTTTGCAGTTTCTCTGAGTGTTCAACTGTCTGACCTTAGGGTGAATTTTGTGAGACGTCAATGCCTGATGGGAAGATTGGCCACTGACTTTCCATCTGTGAACAGTCCCTATGGTGGAAGGATACACTTCTGCCTTTTTGGAGGGGGTCTGCTGATGGCTCAGTCAGGTGTGTGATGAGCCAAATAATGTTCGCTGATGCTGAAAATACACAAACAGTGTAGGACACACAATATATACTAATGTACAGACAGATAAAAGTACATCAGAAGTGTATAAAATGAGCAAAACTGAGAAAAGATGCAGATGCAAATGGTAAAATGTATGAAATATACATGAAACCCCCCCCCAAAAGTTTGATTTGGTCATTTTTTTCCACTGGTCGAGGGCTTTGTCTTGGGTCAGGGTCTCCTGAATATAATTTTGCAGAGAGACTTGTGAAGCAGTAACACCTCTGCTCGGTAAGATGGCCATTGGATTGCAATGTTTTGCCTTGGTTAGATGTTTTGTTGTAAAAGTGAGTGATAATTCGTTATGCACACATATGATTAGGCAATACGTTACTGAGTCATGTAATTGTGTATGTGTTTAAGTAAGTAAGCTGAGTAAAGTTTTAAATTTGACCTCCAGTAATCAATGTTGCTAATTAGAAATAAGTGATCTATCTATCTATCTATCTATCTATCTATCTATCTATCTATCTATC